CGTAATATACCGAATTAAGAAGTTGCCGAAAGGTAAACCTAAAGTAGTTCACATAAATCGTCTTGCACCTTATGCTGGCTCAAATGAAACCGAAGAAGTCCGAACCCTTCAAAATAAGATCAAAGATGATCGGCGACCAAGCTTTAAGGAGTTTATGTCAAATTACGCAGAGAGAAAGAGTGCTAGATTCGGCGTGACAACAGAAGTTCAGCAGGATCTTTTTAGTGTTCCGCATAACGTCTCTCTAGCCCACTGTGTTGCCCAAGATCTTGAGATGACTAAAGGAATCTCATCTGTATTTTATAAGAAGTTCGGTCGTTTGGACGAGTTAAAAAACCAGCAGCCTAAAGTTGGAAGAGTATTGAGATTAGAAGATGGTTCTCGATCTTTGCTGTATATGGTGACCAGGAAGTCGTATACAGCTAGGGCAACCTACGAGGATATATGGTGTGCTCTAACTAATTTGAAGAAAATCGTCTGCAATCACGACATTAAGAATTTGGCCTTACCCAAGATAGGCCATGCACTAGATAATCTGGATTGGAAGATTGTCAGAAGCATGCTTGAAGTGATCTTCCGAGAAACCGGCGTACGAATTACTGTGTGTTGCACTAATCCGAAGAGATCGTGTCCTTCAAAGACAGTAGACTGTTATTTCTTTCTGAGGGGTTCATGCAGAGCTGGAGAGTCCTGTAGATTCCGCCATCCTGGGCCTACATATAGAGTTGCTGATCGGGACGCTCAGATCTAAGAGGGGAGCAGTGTTACGAACATGCTTTCGGCATGACTCATATAACGGTTACATCTCGAAACGGCTTCCAGAATCATCCTTAGATCTCTCGAAGGCAAGAGAACAATGGGCCACGTGCGCGAATTAGAGGTGGGAACTTTCTAGAACATAGTAACTTAGGTATATATATGTAACGACCTTAGGAGTTAGTTTAGTTGATAAGAGAATACCGAACTGTAAAGTTATAAAATAAATATATTTATATAAATTCGAACCGCTCGTTTATTTAATCTCGCTACAATACGGTAAAATTTCGATGAGGTAAATTTTAAAAAATCGCTTAAAAAGCGATAGGTACCCTCCGTCCGGCGAGCGGCATTGTTTTTTTTTTCACTTTTAAGCTATAAGGAACGAAAAAAAAATGGTCTGAGGAGTGTGCCTTCAAATTTGAAATAAGCGTTTTTTTGGCATCAAAAAAAGGACGATTTTCTGTAGAATTATACATATAGGTTTTAATTATCGAGGTTCATAAAACTAGAAAAACTTGTCAGGTACTTGGCCGGGCCAAAATTTTTAACATGATACATTTTACATTATTTCTCTGGAATATATATTTATGTGTAAAAAGACGTAATAGTCTTTCTGTTTTGACAGTTGTAGAGTAAACTTTGGGCTATGATTACAAATGAAAAGACATCCATCGTAAGTAACAAAGTCCCAAAGGAGTCGTGCTTCTCGATGCTATTTTTCCGTCGTCTGTATTATGCCATTAACATCATATTGTCAGAATAAATAACTTTTGGCAGAATAAGCAATAATATCCCTCTTCTTCATTCTAGAATGTAGGAATTTGTTGCTTGTTCTGGCATCAAATTTCGCTTATCTTTTCAAGGAATGTTCTACACTTTTTTTATTTCCCGCTTCACTGGTTCACTTAGTTCTTAGCATTTTAGTGCTATTTCTTGCGTTATTATACAGCTTTCACATCCAGATATAAGACTGGTACTTATTCTTTTTTCAATAAAAATTTTTTTTCTTCGGTACTGATCTTTAAAGAACTTTTTACCTTGTCTTTGTATTGCGATATACTTTTTAAATTGCAATCTCGCCGATACACTGTCTATTTTGTACTGCTTCATATTTAACCGATACAGCGTACTATACAAAGTTTTCGATATTATATCCAGACAACACAAATTGTCGAATAAAAATCGAACATGACTTCCAGCGAAAGTTACAAGAAATCCCTAGAACGTCGTAACAAAGAATATTGGTCATATCGAACTTCCCAGTACAAAGTTCGGTTTTTCTTTTTCGCTGCCACAAGCTACGAACTACATCTACCGCATACCGATATTTCCGTAGAAGATATAAAAATAGGAAATACGTATACCGCTTGTGTAGGAGATAGTAATAAGTTATTTATAGAGTGAAAGATGAAAATAACTGCAAAAATCCATAGTGTATGAAAGTATTAATATAGAGCAATATAATAAAAATCGTAATTGAGATAGACTATGGAATATTAACTTGATCACCAATCATAATATGAATACAGAATAAAATGGCACGATTTATAAAATTATTTAATAAATAAAATATTTACAAATGTGAGATTATGTAATATTTCATTATTGGATACCTATGAGGGAGTCATTACTTGAGCCTTTGTCAAGGCGTGACCCTGTGCCCATTGGCTGTGATCATGTGCCAGATGGACGTCTTCACGTAGTAACTTTCCCACCATAGTCTTCGACCTTCTGCTTTTCCTTCTACTACCAATAGTTCTAGTCCCCATTCTTCTGGATTTGTGACCGAAGTAATTTGGGTACGCTCGGTTCTCTTTTTTTAATAACTTTTATTTTATATTAAGCTCTTCCAGAATCAACAGGTTATTTCTGTGGTTCTGTCCAGGAAACGTCTAGAATTATTCTGATTTTTCTGTAGACCTACATTTTAAAGGCTTCGATTTTACTTTCATCAATTTTTTTTAGAGTTCATGTTTTACCCTCGTATAGCTTCGATATTTTATTTAATTTAGCTGTTGCAGTTCGGGTCACTGTTGGTCTATGCGTGATGGAGATATCACCATTGTTGGTTATCGTTGAGCCTAATTATACAATTCTGTCTACTACTTCGAAATTCGCCATTGGCTTATGTGCGGTAGATTATTATCATTTGCTGTCTACGATCATTATTTTTATTTTTTCGGTGTTGATCTGAAGTCCGAATTCATTGCTTATCCGGCTTAGGCCGGCCACTCACTAACAGGTACACCTGAAGAGGTAGAACTGTCCGGTTGTTCGCATGGCAGCACACACACTCTTCAAAAATACATGTCAGGTATACCTGATGGATGTCTATATTATTAAATATAAATATGTCAAGTACATTTCAATTTGTTAACTAATTTTTTATATTCAGCACCTCTCTTGCCTCTGATAAAATTCGTTAGGCTTTCACGGCCATCGTTTAACTTGTAAAACTGTTTGTTCGGGCTGTTAGGTCGTTGGCTACTGAGATTAGTTCACGACGTTTCGCCAACACTATGGGTTGGCATCTTCTGGAGATGTTACTGCTTCGCTTGTAAGCAAAATCTATTGTTAATTCTTAGTGCTTCTTCTAATCCGAGTAAAATTATTTGGATGCTTATATATTTTCACCGCTTCCCCGATATAACCGTGGGTCGTACTGTGATGTTTTATCCAGCATCCGTGTTTCTTCAAACAGTATCCGATGTTCTCCGCTTCCCAAAGCGTGTTCGGCAACGACAGATTTGTCGATATGTCCTAAACGACAATGGCTTTTATGTTCGTTTATCTTTGTATTTGTGTCTTTTTGTGGTTCCCACATATACTTTTCTACATGTGCATAATATTCGGTATACTCCGACTGTTGCTAATGGGTCGCGTTTGTCCTTCACCGATCTTAAACAGTCCTTGATTTTCTTGGTTGGCTGAATTGGTCTTTACATTGGCTTTTTTAAGTATTTGTCCAATTCTGTCTGTTACCCCCGATATATAGGGCAAGAACGCTTTGCTTATACATGCTGTTTCTTCGTATTTTTTTCTAGAAACGTTGTTAATCGCTTTGTGTATTTCTCTTCTGGTATAACCATTAGAGGTGAGCGCTTTTCCAATATGAAGAAGTTCACTTTGCAGATGCTGTGGTTCAGAAATTCTCTTCGACCTCTCCGCCAGAGTTTTGATGATATCTTGTTGTTGGCCTGTATGATGATTTGAGTTCCTATTTAGGTATCTTTCCGTGTGTGTTGGTTTTCGATACACTTCATGTCCTAAGTAACCTTCCTTTCGATTTACTAATACATCTAGGAACACTAGTTGTTGATCTTTCTCTGTTTCCATCGTAAATTGAATATTTGGATGTAGTATGTTTATATAAGACAGGAAATCGTTAAGTTTTTCTACTCCGTGACCCCAAATCACAAAAGTGTCATCCACGTATCTAAATCATACCCTTGGCTTGTATGCTGACTCCATTACCCTCTTCTCTACATGCTCCATGAAAAGGTTGGCTACGACTGGGCTTAGTGGGCTTTTCCCATTTCTACTCCATCTACCTGTTCATAAATCTAGTTTTCCCATGAAAATTAGGTGGTAGTGAGGCAAATACGGTATAATTCCAGAATATCTTTGAAAACTAGTACCTACATCCAAAACGTCTTCTAGGGGAACTCTTATAAATAGGGAAACAACATCAAAGCTAACAAGAATGTCAGGTGGTGTGTGGTCTCTTGTCTCTGTTGTGCTAGTCATTGTGTTATTTTCCACAAGCAAGGTTCCCTTTTGTAAATTTTAATGAAATCATCAAGAACTTCATTAAAACGTTATGAATCGAAAGATTTTGTGTCATCTACGAAACAGAGTTGCATTTGTATGTTGTGTTCTCTCGCTTTTTCTATTATCTGATTGGTGTTCAGTATCTGCCACGCAGATTTCTTCCCCCGAAAGTGCTTTATAACCGTTGCTACATAGGGTAATTGCTGCATATGGTTAGTAATCCTTTCTTATAGATAGTAATTAAGATTGATTCGTACCAATTATCAGGTCATTCACCTGTGGTCCATATGATGTTGCCATATCTATATACGATCATACTATACTTATACTATTTTTGTTTGTACCTATTATATCAACCCTATCTTCTTGAGTTTACAGTATATGTATTAAATTTTAAATATACAGTCTACTGACCTATCTTGATCAGTATTAATAACTATTTAGATTTGAATTAATATGGATAAACTTACGAACACTAACATGAAGAAATTGTCAAGAAAGCCAAATCCAATGAAAGGTATAGAGTTTGCTATGCCAACTGAAACAGAACAAAAACAGTTACATATAAAAAAATGTTCAAAAGTAAATTTAAAAAGTAAAGGGTGTTTTTGGAGGTATAGAAATGTAAGTTGACAACACTTTTTTAACTGACGGCCATTTTGACAGCTGTCAAGTGATTTATATTTAGTTTGGTTTGGCATTTCAGCATGAATCGACTGAAGCCTGAACAACGCTTTTAAATTGTGCAAATTTATTTTGAAAATCATGATTCTATTCGAAATATGTATCGCGCACTATATCTACAGAGACGTCGTACAGTGCGTACAGAAGAGTTGTTGCTGATGTAAAGTATACCAGAATTAGTCTATCCGCCATCATGTACAGCAGTTGGATTTTCTGCACTTTATGGAAGATTTTGCAGAAAGTCTTGGTTGCATGTTTACAAAATCCAACTCATACAAGAATTGAAGCTAAACGATCAGTTAGCAAGACGTAAATTCTTTGAGTGGGCCCAAAAAGAGATTGCCGTTGATTCTAATTTTGTTTAGCGATGAAGCTCACTTTTGGTTCAATGGCTATGTCAACAAACAAAACTGCCGTATTTGGAGTGAAGATAATCCTCAAGTATATGTTGAGACACCATTATATCCAAAAAAACTGAATGTTTTGTGTACTTTGTCGGGCTGGTGGGATCATTGGCCCGTACTTCTTCAAAATCGATGCTGGTCAAAACGTTACAGTCAATGGTAACCCCTATAGAGCCATGATTACTGACTTTTTTATTCCTCATTTGAACAACCATGATGTGCAGGAGCTGTAGTTTCAACATGATGGCGCAACATGTCACACAGCTTATGCCACAATTGATTTATTGAAAGAAACATTTGGTAACTGCGTAGTTTCACGTTTCGGACCCGTGAATTGGCCTCCAAGATCATATGATTTAACACCGCCAGACTATTTTCTGTGGAGATACGTAAAGTCGCTAGTCTACGCCGATAAGCCTGAAACGATTGACCACTTAGAGAATAACATTCACCGGGTTATTGCCGATATACGGACACAAATGTTGGAAAACTTCATCGAAAATTGAACCTCTAGATTAGACTACGTTAAAGCCAGCCGTAGAATAATCAAAGAGAGAAAAATATAATACTTGGGTCATGTGTTGAGAGGCGAAAGATACGAATTACTTCAAGTTATACTGGAAGGAACAGTACAGGGCAAAAGATCAGTAGGAGGACGCCAGAACTCATGGCTCAAAGACCTGAGGAGATGGTTCGACCACTCATCCGCAGAAATCTTTCGCGCAGCAGTTTCCAAAACTACAATTGCGATTTGGATCGACAATCTTCGAAAGGAGACGACGCCATGAGAAGAAGAAAGCCAGCCATGGTGGTTATATGCCAGAAATCATATTTAAATTATAATGCCAAAAGATTATTTTTTGAGAAAAGTCAATTTGATGTCATTTTAAAAAATCGTCTTTGTTTTATTAAAATTCAAAGTTCTATACCTCTAAAAAAACACCCATTATTTTTTATATTATAGAAATTAATAATTGCTAAGTAATATTAGGGTTTTGTGGAAATGCTTCATAAAGGAAAGGAAATGGGCAAAGCGTGGTAATTATAATCTGGAAAAATTTATTGGCACTCGAAATGTCAAAACAAACGTCAAATTATGTAATTTTTATTACAATCAATCATTGTGGTTTAATCCCCTATAAAATAATATTCAACAAACCCACTCTGTGGCTCAGTGGTAAGAGCGCCTACCTTTGAACCTAAAGGTCGTGAGTTCGAATCCCACCTGGGTGGAAATTTTCGTTTATTAAAAATTAATAAATGAAAATAATTTCTATCCTTATGCGATCGGTACTCACCAGAGGGACCGCAGAGACGTTCGGATACAATTAGCGTCTCTTAGCAAAGACAATGACGTCGACTTTGCTAAGTATCAAGACAATTACTCTACACACACACACACTACACTAGGTACCTGACTGTACCATGCCAATGATCATAGTTGTCGAGGCATTAACTCAATAATAACTTAAACATGCGACAAGAAAACAGTTTCAGTACACAATAAGAAAATATTTTTTTACAATACGAAAAAAAAAAGAAAAAATGTTGAAATTAAAATTTTTTCTTATTACACATCTTGCAAATACGAGTATAAGTGTAAACGAAAAAAAAAATTCTTATAGATTCCTGAACTATAACGATGATACAACATTTTTATATCGCCAAAATCGCCTTTTTAATAACAAACGGAATAACTCTTAACTAATTCATATTTTTTCATCAAATTTTATGTGTATCTTAAGAGCATCGAAAGCCAACTTGTGGGAAAAGTTTTGAAATTATTTATCCATTTTTGTTTATTATAATACTCAATATAATTGCTAAGTCTTAAAAGAATCCTTTTTTAAAAAAACTTTGAAGAAAAAAATTTCTATGTGGACGATTTTTTTGAGTAAAAACTTTTGAAAACTTTTTTTTGGTAATTTTGGCGTTTTAATCAATGTTTAAATAATGATCCCGTAAAAGTATACCCATACTTTCATGAAAAAATCAGTTTTTTTCACCTAAACTTTGATTTGGAAAAGAATTCGAAACTTAAAACAAAATTCTTTACGTGTATTAACCCTAGAATGGTACACTGGTGTTACCGGCGACACCGCGCAGTTTCAATTAGCAGTCAGCACATTTCTAGAGGGGGGTGGCCTAAAAAGAGTATGAAGACAAAGAGGTTAGTGAAAGTGAACATTCTGATACTATTTTAGTAGAACCAGAGGTTAGTGAAGAAAAGAGTGAAGATTCGCACAAACACAGCGATCAAGGAAGAAAAGTAATATATGCAAAAAATTAAGTTTTTATAAAACTGCGTTTTTTTCTCAAAGAACACTCACAAACTTCAAAAAACGTATTGCTTTGTCTATCATGCTTCAAATATACCAGAAGAGATTTTGGATTAGAAACTCTTTTTCAACGACTCAATGATAGACTATATTACTCAATACATAAACCAAGAAATCTCTAAACAATCTACTAAATTTAGTCGAACTCTAAGTTTTACAACTGCTACAAGCAAATAAGATATTTTGGCATTATTTGGTATTTTATATATGCGTAGTGTTCTAGAAAGTAGCTAACTGAGTACCTCGGATTTACATTAATTACTAATTTAACTGGGAATAAGCCACAATTAAAGGTTAAAATACGTTTATTGACGTTTTCAATTTTCTCAAAATACAAACAGTAAATTAAACAATTTTTTTTTAACAAAATGATTTTCCTATGCTCCATGATTTTGGATGTTATTAGTCAAGAGGACCAGCCAGTACTCGATAGAATTTGCCCTCAATCTGCCAACAGAAAACGTAGAGACCTGTGCGTCCGCCGCAAAGCTTGACTGTGTGCAGAACAAAGAACACCAATCTGTCCAACTTTTACCAAAGAATTTGATTTTAATTTGTTATAAATATGTTATTTTCTACTTCTTTAGTCTTTTTCATAATTTTTCATAGTACAAGAAAAATGTAAAATATACTCATATTTTTGATTTCTTAGAATAAATTAAAAAAGTGTCTGTGGTGTCGTGTACGAAAAGTATCCATATCATTCTAGAATTAAAACTTTATTTGACTGGGCTATTTAAGCATTTGCATACCGTAATGCAGCCTGTTAAGTGCACATTTGGAATAGTGCATTGAACTACTTCGTAGACTATTTCTGTTATTTTACGAGTATCTATTTAGTGGCCCGATATCTATTACAGGATTCATCTATATTATTGTAACACATTTTGAATAAAACTCGGAACTTTGTGCTTCACAAAAGCTTTGGGGTTGTACAATATACACCCAATTATTCATTAGAAAATTGAGGCAACGATGTTATCATTTTGTTTTGTCTACTGTCTAAATTGTTCCGGAGGTTTTGGCAGAAACTCATATAGTATTTATTAAATTTTGTGGCACATAATACGTCAGACTGATTTTCTACTAAATAGTTAATTTTGACTTCAGTCCGATACAAAATTAAATAATTTATTATTTAATGTTACATATGCTTTATGGGAAGATAATCTGATAAACGATATTAAACAAGTTTGTTTTGAGTTTGTTAGGAAGTTAGTGAGTGTGAGGAAAAATACAGAAATAAACAAAACATCTACTTCATACATACATATCTATACATACCATGGAACCATACCACGAATGATGAAAAGAAGGTACTGACTGAATGATCCAAAGATTAAAATAAATATCTAGTCTTTGATGTTAAAGACAGAGAATCATTTAGATCAGCTTTATGGTGAAAAGAATATAACCCAGATCTTTTAGGTTATGTCCGCATGTTGCTGGTATTGGTATATTTGATCTTAAGATCCTTTAATCATTTGATTATGTGTCTATTTTAGGTTTTTAGATCTGTTTAGGTTTCACTCTCATTCTCAATAAGACAAGATTGTGATCTATAAGTATGTAGTCTGTAAGTTGCAACCGGGGTAGGCTTAGGCAACTAACGATGTTATTTATATATCTTGCATATGAAAGGCAGAATTAAAAAAACAGGCATCAGACCAATAATGACATACGCGGTAGAAACACTACCTGATACAGAGAGGACAAAAAGAATGGAAACATCAGAGATGAAAACACTTAGAATATTAATAATGGTAAAACACTATGGGACGCAGCTAGAAGTATCGATATACGACGTAGATGCAAGGTGGATAACATCAAGAACTGGGTAAGAAATAGAAGAGTAGAATGGAATGATCATATCAGCCGAATAACAACAAATATAGTGGTAAAGACGGCAAGAGATAGTTCCCCAATAGGAAGACGATCAGTAGGAAGACCACGAAAACGATGGAATAACTTACTGAAGTCACATTAAAAAAATAGACAGTCATGTCTACATAAAAAGAAGAAGAATCATTGACTGTTACAGTTTATTTGGTTTCATCTTGAGGAAACTTCCCAAGTATATAGTCGTCTTCTAAGGAGTTTAAACTAGCCGCATTTTGCATATATAGCCCACACCCATACAGACTGTTGTGTCGTAATTTTTCATATCTTTCTTAGCTCTTTCAATGTCATAGTAAAATTCTTCGAACTTCCCCAGTGCTATTCGTAATGCGGTGCCCCCTCACACTTGTACCACAGAATCAATAAACAAACACGAATACCCACTCTCACACGGAAAATTATAGTACAGCGCATTCTCCTCGCGCAGGACGTATCCGCCATGTTTGTAGGAGGAATCTTTTAAAGATATTAGTGTTTGGTTTATGTGGTGTGCATGGAAAAATTAACCAGGTTTATTTGACTGTACGGCAATCATAGACATACTATACAATTATATTAAACATTGTTAAATATAATAACATAAATATAATATAATTAAACATAAATATAAACAATTACATAACCACACAAATCATATGTATGTGTCCTCCTAAACCATGGCGCACGTGGCTGAAAAACTTCAAAGCGGCATCTGAGAGTGCCCTTCTGATTGTTATTATTCTGTGCTTGTACTAAAGTCTTATTTGGTCCGTTTAGTTTGGGCAGCATTCTTCTTCTACGGCACTACAGCACAAATTGAGCCTTGGCCTCCTTTATTATTTGCCTCCATCTCTTGCTTATCTGTGGCTGATCTTCTCCATACAAGGACTCCTAAAAGAAGCTTATGCGTCGCTGTTTACTGTATCTTCCAGCGCTTTCTTGGCTTTCCAACCGGTCTCTTTCCTTGCATTCTAGCATTCAGGAAAGTACTGAGGAGAGTTCTTTCCTTTCGAATGTGTCGAGTTTTCGAATGTGTTGAATTTGCTTTTGGATGTTTCTTTCAGGACCAAATGCTGTTTACTGTCATAGCATGCAATGTGGCGAATTAAAGGTTTTATATGATTCTCATCTTTGTATTTCGGTGGACATTTTTAGACCGAAATATATGGGAGAGGGCAAAATAAGCTCTGTTTGCCTGCGTTATTCTCTTCCGTATTTCTCCATCTTCTGATCCGTCGGCATATATTTCTACTCCCAGGTATGTAAACTTTCCAACCGTTTCAATGTCATCTTCATGTATAATGTTTTGTGGGACTATATTTCTTCTCGTCTGTATCATTATTTTGTTTTTTCTGTGTTAATTTCTAGACCTAGCATTTTTGTTTGCGTTTTTAACTCTGCGTATGTTTCCTGTGCTCCTGTTGATGTTCTACTCATAATATTAATATCATCGGCATAAGCGACCAGTTGAACCGTTCGGTTGGTCAGTAGGTTTCCTCGTCCAGTTTGCATTTGCCTAACCGCATACTCCAGTGCCAGGTTAAACAAAGTTGGAGCCAGCCCATTCCTGCTTTAGTCCTGCGAAATTTTGAAAAAGTCTGTCAGGTGGTTTTGTATTCATACACATGCCTGAGTTTCATCCATTGTGGCTTTGTTGAGTCTAATTAGCTTGTGTGGAATTGCCAATCCCCCAATATATTGTAGAGTTTATTCTTTTTGACTGAGTCGTATGCCTGTTTGGTTTACAAACACATTGTGAACATCAATGTCATGTTCCCATATTTACTCAAGATCTGTTTGACTGTAAATATTTGATTCAGTGTCGATCTTCCCCGTCGGAAGCCCGTCTGATACTCTCCAATAATATTTTCTGCTAGTGGTTGGAGCCGCTGGTTTATAATATACGTGAGGACTTATATGCTGTACATAGTAGAGAAATTCCACGGTAGTTTTTGCACTGGAGTTTGTCTCCTTTTTTATAGATCAGGCATACTGTACTTTTCTTCCAGTCGTAGGGTATTTTCTCTTCTTGCCATATATCTTTGATGAGCGCGTGGATGTGACTTGCTAGGTCGCCACCTACCTTATACAATTCTGCTGGTATTTCGTCAACTCCCGGGGCTTTATTGTTTTTCTGGGCTTTAATAGCATCGAGAACTTCCTCTATGGTTGGAGTTCTACTCCATTCTCTACTTCATTCTCTTCTACGTAGTTCGTATCCATTTCATCTTCCATGTCTACTTGTGTACCAAGTAAGGTCTGAAAATAATGCTTCCAGGTTTCTGTGACTTTCTGTTGGTCACAGATTATTGGCCACTTTCATCTTTACATAGACTTGTTCGATGTTAATACCCACATTTTATCTTCGTATTCGTAAGCCCCTCTAATTTCGTTGTTTTTGAAATTTTCTTCCATTTTTTCTATTTGTGCATTTTCATAGGTTTTTTTTTATTTCTACATATCTTGTCTGCTTTCCGTCTTGCGACTTAAAAAGATGTTCGTCTTTCCCGTGTTCTTCTTGTTATATACATTTTTTGTGCTTCATTTTTTTCCTCTATTGCTTGTCTGCATTCCTCCAAATCATGCTCCTCTTCTTGCCTTTTTCTTATTTCCCATCAATACTAATCATTACTACATTAATCAGTACTTAAAATCATTATCCATGCCGCTGTCAGTACTGCTGTATTGATATTATTCCATTTGCCCTCTATGGAGTACAGCTCTAGGGTCCTTAACTCATTCGCAACTTTTTCTTCGATCTTCTCTTTACATTCCCGAATCTTCAGTTTTTCCAGGTCCAGTTTGTTTGTTCTTTGTTGCCTTTCATTTCTTTCTTTGTCAACTCTGCATCTAAATTTGGTTTGGTTTAAAAGATGGTCTGATCCACAGCATTCTCCTCGTCGTGTTCTCACATCTGAGATACTACTGGCTGCCTTTTGTCTGTCAGTACATAGTCGATTTGATTAGTTGTGGTTCCATCTGGTGAAATCCACGTCATTTGGTGTATGAATTTATTTTATGTGGGAAGCATGTGGAACTTATAACCATGTTTTTACTGGTGGCAAAATTTATCAAAACCTCCCCATTCTCACTTGTTTCATTGTACGGTGGGTGTTTTCCTGTGCCATAGAACTGCGGCTCCTTGCCTATTTTAGCATTCAAATCACCCATTATAATCTTGATGTCATTTTTGAGCGCATTGTCATATACTATCTCCAGCTGTTGGTAGAAGCTTTCCTTTGTAAGTTGTTCTTGTTCTTCTGTTAGGCAGTGAATGTTAATCATAGTTGAGTTGAAGAAATGGGCGCGAATTCTTAACTTGCATATCCTTTCACTCTGGAAGTCTATGATTTTGGACTTAAAATCATTATCCACCACAAAATGCAACTCCACATTTTTTGCTTCCTTGTTCCTTCTCACTATAGTGTACTTTTTATTGTCCCTGACACCTTTCCCCAGCCATCTTGTCTCCTGAAGAGCAGTAATCATGAGCTTATATCTTTTTAGTTCTTGCAGAAGTGCGGTTTGAGCTCCTGGCTTATTTAATGCCCTAACATTCCAGTTTTCAAATATATAGTCCATGTTTCGTAGCTTGAGTCTTTTCCGAAAGTTCCATCCTGTATTCCGAGGCACATATTCAGGTTTCGTAACAATGTGTTTTTTCCGGGAGTGGGTTGTCAGCCCACTGCTCAACTTTCCTCCTTTACCCGGGCTTAGGACTGGCAGTGGTGACTCCTGAGCTACTCGATCCACCCATTTGTCACCACAGGCGGAGTTTTGTGCAGCAATACTAGATCATTAAATTTATTGGTAGAAGACTAGAATTCCAACAAGATTTTGGGCATGTCTCTGTAATGACTTAAAAGTTTAATACAAATATATTTTAATGGTATTTGTCCAACTTTCATTTTCATGTCAAGTTGTAATTTTATTTATTGATCGTAATTCATTGTCATGGCATGTAAATTGTGTCATACACTAAATGTACAGATTGTAAGAGCAGTTTTTAAAAAGTTTTTTTTTATTTGAAATTTCAAATTTAAAATGAATAAATTAAGTATTTATCTAATCAAAACAAAATTGTATTTCTCGGTTTGATTGTAATTTAGATTGATAGATTTTGATTCAAATTCGAATTTGATTAAGCCTTATTTAATTAAATAATGTTACATTGGAACTAAAACGTCACAATTGAACAGCCGTTGCAAACAACTCATGACATGTGTTTTGCGTTTAATGAAACCACATTCGTTTGGTGAAACCGAAATTTTCTATTCTAATTTACTATAATTGTTGCCTTTTTCCCTTTGTGCTTTATGAACGTGCATTTTGATAATATCGGCAAAAACTTTAATAAAATTTCATAATTATTTTGCAATCGATTGCGTAATTAATTAATGAGAAAAAACTTACTGTCAATCAAGTCTCTTGTTGACGGTTTAGGAATTGAAGCAGCTGAAAACAAAAAGAGTAATTAATATTCATCAAGGTTCATCAAAAACATTATAAAAAAATATACATAAGCACAATAAAACAGGTCTGAAAGTCTGATTATCTACAATTTACATATAGTCAGTCCATATTGTGAGACAGCTTCCGTAAAAAAATATTTTTGATTCGGTTTCTTTGCGGATGATTGTTCAAAAATGTCCCCTTTAAACAAATCTGAAGGGTACCGAGCGAAATTTTTGGGCCGAAATTATTTAAACAATTTTTTTTCCGAAAAATACTTTTTCAGGTTTTTTTTTCATTCAAAACAAAAAAGGTATGTTGTTATTTTTCCCTAAAGATGACAGCTTTCGAGTTATAAGCGATTTAAAAGCTGAAAATGCGAAAATACGCATTTTCAAGGTTTGAAAACTTATATGTAGGTATATTATTATTTTTACCAGGTGTCTAAATTTAGTTTAAACATTCAGTTTCAAGATTCTGAAGAGCAATCAGAGCTTATTTCAATGAAGACTGTTATTTTTTAATTGTTAATTATGCGCGGCCACCTGATTTTTAAGCTGCCATGCGCCGCGCCGCACTTTATGATGCGTCTCTGTCGCACAGAGTTTTGAAAACCCAGAATTTGTATTTATATAAGTCGGGATTATATTAGTTAGATTTAGTTGATACCAGAGACGTTTAGTTGATACATAAATTATAACCGTTTTATTCTACACGTTACAGTGGTGTGACGGTGTGAGATAATTTATTAATTTTCGAATAAATTAAGTAGTGACTTTTGAACTTTTGAAAAGTATTGTTCGTCGGAAACATCCGCGTAGTTCAGTAGTGAATTTGGTAAGAAAGAATATTTGAAAAGTACGTGTGTGCCTGACCAAACATGCTGTTAGTAGAACTTTCAGTAAAGCAGTTATGTGAACAAATAAAATAACAGGATGAAGACTGCGGTGGATTCACGAAGATCCTTTAAGAACGACTGAAGAATTTTCTCCGCAAGAATGGAGACAACTCAGACATTCCAGTTTCAATCAAGAGAAGCAGTTTTAACAAAAATAATTGATCTAAAATTCAAAAATGTTTCCAAACGATTCGATGAAACGTCTCAAATTATTAAAAAAGCAAATAGACAAAACGACGAGAAATTCGAAAGCTTTTCTAGAAGATTCGATGAGATTTCTCAAATAATTAAGGAAGTATGTACTCAAAACAATGAAACATTTGAACGAATGAACGATTTGAACAATGAAAGACGTTTCTAGAACATTCGATAAGATACAGAAACATTTAAACGACGTAGAAAAGAAGGTCAAACAATTAGAGCGCATGATAACCAATACAAAAGTGCTACCACCAGTTAGTGCAGTAGGTTTAGGCCATCTTCCTTGACTGCTGATTTAAAAGGTGATGCTGCAGATATACCAAGATCTATTCTTAAAGGTCAAGAAAAATATTAGCAGATCTTGTTCACTCTACTAGACAAAACGCTACGGAGATGCCCATCTACAACAAGTCTACAAAGCACAACTAAGAAATAGAATTTAGTAGGCAAGTGAAAATTTACAAGAATCCGGAGACACCAGGCATTTTGAAAGAAATTGCTGTGACATCTTTGTCAATGGGCTGAAAGACATTGAATTACAACTAGCAAGACCGGAAGTTTTAGATGAAGCGCTCGCTATTGGTTCAAACGATGAACGTCTGGAGGAATTGGTAAGAAAAATAGTTTGCCGAAGAGACGCGAGCCCAGATGGAATGGTGGCAACATAGGTCACGTGCAATAAAATAATACAACAGTCAGACAACTAGAACAGATCGAACATAGAGCTGGAAGAGTTTGTTCAAATGCTGATGCTCTGTCGAGACGGCCATGCAGTGCAAATTGTGATCACTGTCTCAATTAGAGCAGCGACTTTGCCCCGTGAGAGAAAACCACCCTCATTAATGATCAATGGCAGCCTCAATAGCTACAAGACGCTCAAGCCGATGATCCATGTATAAAAAGGGTATTGGATTGGATGCGTCGAGGTGAGAGACCTTCTTGGCAAGACATTAGTCTATGTAGTCCCGAACTCAATCCCTATTGGAACCAATGGAATCGTCTGGTACTAAAGATAATCTTCTGTATAGAACCATTGAGAACGATGATGGTACAGAATCTAAGCTTCAATCTAAAACCTAATTCGCAGAATTCGGTTTTATTCGGTGAACTGTAAATATGATGTAAGAAGATGGTGCCATAAATGTGAACTGTGTGCAACCAGTAATGGTCCAGTTGGTAAAAAGAGGGCACCCATGAAACAGTACACTGTTGGTAGAAATGGATGATGGAAATAAATATATCCTGGTAGCTATGAATTATTTTACGAAATGGACTAAGGCATAGGCGATACTAAATCAAGACGCTACTACCAATGCAGAGGTACGTGTTATATAATTCTTCAGTCGACTTGGTGTTACCTTGTAGATCCACTCCGACCAAGGGCGAAAATTCTTGTCTACCCTCTTCCAAAACGTTTGGAAATTGATTGGTGTAAATGAGACCAGTACCACACCTCACATCCTCAATCAGATGGAATGGTCAAGAGGATGAATTGAAAGATGGGTAAAAACCTGTACAAAGTTGTATCCGAACATCAGAGAGATTGAGAACAGCACATTATCTTAATCGTAATAGCCTACCGCTCAGCCGTGAATGAAACTACATGAAAAGTTCGATCAAACTTTTATCGAAGATGCCTTGCACGCACACTGTCACTACACGACATTTATTCGATGACGTTTGTTAATTCACAAAGATTTGTTAGGTGGAATACACAAAATCACAATGAATAAAACAGAACTACGTATCAACACGGAGATACGTACGCTGAGCAGTGTTGAAAAAACCAAATTATTGGTCCTGTTATCGATCGACAAATATTGATGTGTGTGCGCGATTTCATTTGGTACCGTTCGCCTTGGAATTACGGCAACGATTACTGCCACTGCCACGGCCTTGCCAAACGGAAATGCCCTGTGGCGATCGATGCGTTGTAGCATGTAATATGTTAAAACATCGAAATATTTTCTCAATCCTTTTTGCGCCGTTGGGATTGATAATATAAACATTTTAAGTTTGTGTATATAGCACAGATGCTTATTTCCTTGTGATTTATTTAGTCGTGATACCGTTTAATGTTGCGCGTCAAATAATCATCCAATTATATTGATAAGAAAGTTATGCGGGGACGCGAACGATTTTTAAGAATGGTGTCACTCGACGATAAGCCGCGGAAGCAGTTAGTTATTGTTTGAGTCCCGATTTTTCTTCAAATTCGTTATATTTTTTTTGTATGTGCGTTATTCGTTTTTGTAATGGAAATACAGTGTAAAGTGATTTACTCTACGACGAATCTTGAAAGTAGCAGTTTATTGTTTAGAGTCCGGATTTTTTTTTATTGCTTATTGTTTTTCGTGATTCGTTTTCGTTATCGGAAATAGTGAAGTTTGGTAGCATGTATCAGTTTAAGTGAGAGAAGTTGAGATTGACATTCGGAAGAAATAGCTTGTGGGTGTAGTATTCACAGCCGGCAAATTTTTTCAATTTGAAAGGTGAATTTTACTCAAAATGCCATCTGGCAGTTTTTTGTTGAGTTAATCACCCATTTGTTCCTGCTGTGTTTTATCTGAGAGATTTGTAAGACGGCGTTTCCAATCATTTGAGAGGTCCACATGGTTTCGGAGGAAATTGAGTGGCAGAGTTTTGAAGATTGCAGTTAGTTGTCATACAGGATAATCCGAGGCCAGAATCCAGTGTTCAATTTCCAAAGAGTTGTCTGTTTGTGTTCCTTGGTCATTTCAGACAAATTTCCAGTTTGAGTGGGACACAGTTGTGTATTGCTTGCAGTGTTTTGGATCCAGTTCTAATCCCAAATACTTCTTGAAGTAAATACATCAGCCAGAGTAATATAAAGTACTTTTTGTTAAACAATTTTTTAAGTAAAAATAGAAATTTTTCATTTAAATAAAAAAAGATTTACTTTCATGACAAACTAAAGAATTGTAAATAAATGAAATTATAAGTTTTGTGGATTGGCTAATTGTCATATTATTCTTCTTTTAAATGCAAATAATTTTAAAATTTAATTATTATTTCAAAAAGTTTTGATATTTCATTTCGACATATGACAGTCAGTCTTTTTTATTGGTACATAACCATAAATTTGAATTGTTTTGTTTAAAGATTAACCTCAATGTAAGTTCCGTTGAAAATTCAAGATATTTTCATTTTAATAATAATTTAAATTCCTGTAGTATCCCCAACGACTGGAGTTTGTAAATCGTTACAAATAGCGCCATTATAAGTTCTGTTTTAAAATTGTATTATTATTATTTGTAATAACTGTTTATGGTGAAGTAAAATAAATATAAAAACCAAGTGTAGAATTATTTCCTTTAAAAAGATTTTCACCCTTTAATATTTTTTAGGAAAGAAAAGCCTTTCTTTCCATCCAGCGAGAAGATTCTTTAAATGCTTTAAATGGCGTCCAAATTCAAATAGTTTAGGAACCTTCTTGTGTTGTGTTGCCCAGGAAATCTATGTATGTTTTTTTATTCATTCCTTTGTAGTTACCCTTATAGTCCCTCTTTTATTCACGTACTTACGACCCAGATTTTCAACCAAACCAAGAGTGGCCGTTCGCAGACGTTTCGTTTTGCTTACTTGTCTCTAGTTTCAACCCCCTATAAGTGATACCCAATGTGGTAGGCAAATTATAACCGCTATAGCGTATGCACGTTCACACTATTTCTTCGCGCCACTAAAGGAATTTGTACGATCGAACTTTTATCGACCTTCCAAATTCGATGTGTGTGCGCCTATCGTAACTCCTCGAGAAATTTCCCGTAGACCAATGCGTCCTTTTTCGATGTCGCTTAAATGACGAAATTACCAACGAACGCGAACTCTTTGTATTTGAAATTTTTTGGTAAATCAAAAACAATCCAAACTGACTAAAAATTAC